TATATATATATATATATATTATAGTAATTGTTGTTAACATGTAAATAGTTGTATATATGAGTTAAATAGGTAGATGTATACAAAATAGGTAGATCTATACAAAACATGCACAGCAGCCTGTGCATATTTTGTAAAACCTGCAACTTCATGGCAGTTCAACTCCCGTGAAGTTACAGTCTAAATTTCCCAGAGAGCGATTCTCTGGGAAATTTGGCCTGTAACTCCACGGGGGTTGAACTCCCGCAGAGTTTTAAACCCTCCAACATACTTCACGGGAGTTCAACTCCCGTGAAGTTTTTTTAACAAATTAAACTTCACGGATGTTGAAATCCCATAAAGTTTATAAGTATGCTAAACTTCACGGGAGTTCATCGTAAATTTTTTTAGAAAAACCAACCTGGTTTTAGCGACAGCGCTGAAACCAGGTCGGTTTTTCTAAATATGTTGAAAAGCGGTCATTTTTTGCAATTAAATTGTGAATAAGGTTGGTTTTGAAAATTTGTCCTGTTTTATAATCGAGAAAAGGGCTTCATTTTCCGAACTCCAGAAACAAAACAAATTGCGATCCTAGGGTTTCAGCAAAGAGATCAGATCAATCTCAGCACCAGCATCAATGGCGATGGCGGCTTTCAGAAGAGAAGGAAGGAGGCTCATCGTCTCCCCAAATCCCTCGGGCTTCGCTCGATCCGCCGTCTTCTCTGAGTAAGATCCTCTCAGCTTGATCTGAGATTATGATGGACTTGTCTTGAATCCTGTCTGCTAACGGAGTTTAGAATCTTTTATTAATTAGTAGATTGCATGCTTTTGATTGCTGATTTCCGCTAAAAGATATCGTTTTTGGGTGAAGCCTGCGATCTCTTTTTTTTTATAAACCTTAAATATGCGTTTTACCCAAAATGGAGAGAGTCTGTTTAATAGACATCTTTGCAAGTTCAAAAGTAGCTCCACTCATTATAAATCCATCAACTTTTCTTGGGATTTCTTATGATAGTTACGAATTAATCTAAAAACAACTTTTGTTCTTTGCCTGCGAGGTGCGATTTCTAAACGGAGAGAGTTGTTCCCTCACATACATTAATTCCAGTGAAAGTGGTACTAAGATTGGAAGCGACCAATTTATACTTTGATGGATAAACATATTATCTATGCACACTCATTTGATTACTAAAAGAAGAATAATAGGATGTGCCAATATGAAATTGTAGAGAAATTCATCATTCTCTGTAAAGTAACTTGAACATGTGATTCAGGGGTTATAAGGACAAAGATGTCATATACGGTTTTCTAGATATTTTCCCCATGGGTTGATCAATTTTGATTTAGAAATGTTATTACAACTAACCATGAAAATCTAAATAAAAGAAAAAGTTGCGCATGCAGTGGGCTGATGGAGCAAACACATTCTTTTTTCACACTAATTCTAATATTTTTTCTCATACAGGAATTATGATCAGGGTATTATCATGTAAACTGCAATCTAAAAGCTTGCTTGAGCGTAGGTCTTGCATGTATATTTATGGTGATTTCATTATCTTATTAATGAATATAGCATATCATGATTCATTATGCGTGCCCCTACCAGCTCGTTGAAGATCAACCGTAAATAACATTGGGTTGGTCATGTGAAGGTCTTTATCTTTAAGATAAATCCGAGCAGTAGTTTATTAAGATATATTACTTTTCCCAGTGCAAAATTCACTTTTAGCAAGGTTTTAAATATCGGATGTTGGATTCAGGTCAGTCGGCTAAAATTCGTGTCGGATAGCGAAAATTAGGGATATATCAGGGACATGTACTAAATGTCAGATTGTCATATTGGATGGATATCTACTTAATTTTGGTCACCAAGATGGAACACACTCGTCTTGTTAAAGTTTATCCTACTTGAGTTGAGTATTCAACATCAAGACACAAGTTGTTTTCCATTTCTTAAAGGGAAACAATGGAATATTATGCCAACAAATAAATAAAATATACATTGTCAAACTAGAACTTCAAATTGCCTTTCATAAAAAATGAAGTGCCTTGCATAAAGTTGACATACATTGTTAAACTTTGGATTGATTTCAAGCTCTGGTTCAAACTTATTGTCTACCTCACGTTTTTATGAATTCTCAATTTCAAATTGTAGAGACGAAGACAAACGAGAGGTGATCATGACAAAAAATAGAGCAACCTTTTTTTTCTTTGTCCTAATATGTAGTCTGTGCTATTGGGTTGCTATGGGAGCAAAATGCTAAAAAAGAGTCAATCGGGTTTTGGTTTTCAAAATGCTAAAAAAGAGTCAATCGGGTTTTGGTTTTGAGTGCTAAACCCAAACCCCAATACTTATCAACTCCATAAAAGGCATATATTTGAAAGTTGAAAATTGGTCGATATGTCCGCAATGTCCCCCGACATGTCGGATATGGACGTCAAAAACGATATCCGACTTGAAATGACCATATCAGTGTTGCTCTAGCCTTCGATCGACACGTCGGCTGACATTTAAAACCATGCTTTCTAGTGGGTGAGACATTCATCATTCCTAGTATGAGTTTTGAGTTAATATTTTGAAGGGTAAATTTAAAAATAATTGAAGGAAACTTTTTCCTTTATATTGGGGATAATATATTAGGAGTATAAATTAGAGATTTAGTGATTGAGAGGCATTAGGAATGTAACTAAGAGAATAATTATGATTATATTATTGTGTTTAGTCCCACATTGACTATGCAATAAACTTCTTGTTATTGTATTCCTATATAAAGGAGAATAGTTATAGACTTATAGCTTTTGAAATATGAATGAGAATCTATAATATTTTATTGTTTAACATGGTATAAGAGACATGCAAACCCTAACCTGCACAAAACCTTAGATTCTCACAAAACCCTACCCCCCGATCCCTCACCATCAAACTCCTCTCTACCTCACAACCTCTCTTTTTTCCTATGATTGGTCACTGTGAAGATGGTGTGTTCACCGTGAATAGGGCCCAGTAACTATCCACTCTGAACAGTGTTGCAGTGACTATTTACCGTGAACAGTGCCATGAATTGTTGTTCGTTTTGCTTTAAATGGCCTTGTTGATGATTGGGATTGTGGTGATTGCCATTATTGGGAGTAGTCATCCTTAATGTATATGTTCTCGTTACCACCTATGCCGCCTCAATTCCCCTTCGTTCACCGCCTACCCAACTTGTTGACACCACAAGTTATATTTTAGAAACCTTGATCTCCATTAACTATCGAAAAAAAAAAGATTAAATCAGGATTTGGTTTGAAGTTTGGTTCGATGAAGGTTATTTCCTTGACTTATTTGTTTGGTGGATCCCTATAGAGGGATCATTTGTTTGGCAGATCCCTAAAAAAGGATCATTTATTTGTTAGATCCGATTAATAGGATCATTTCTTTAGTTTATTCGTTTAGAGGATCGTGTGTTTAGTTAGTCTGTGAGGAGGATCGTTTGTTTGGTTGATCCGTATAGATGATTGTTGAAGAGGGTCGTTTGTTTGGTTAATCAGTAAAGAGGATTGTTTGTTTGGTTGATTCGTAAAGAAAATTATTTATTTGGTGGATTTCTAGAGAGGATTGTTTGCTTGGTGGTTCCCTGGTGAGGATAATTTGTTTTGTAGTTCCGCGGTCGATCTGTGAAGAAGATCGAGGTACAACATTTGGTGATTTTGGTTGAGGTTGTTTGTGGTAAAAGACATTCAAGTAAAATACTAGAAGATGAAGATAACTATGATGAGAAGAGGTCACACAGAAGATTTAATCTTTTAAGTCATGTCACAAATTGTGGTGAGTACATCTTGTTTGTAACAAGCTAGACATGTACGATATACATGCTCCAGCTTGTGGGGGAGTGTTAAGAAATATATTATGGAGATCTATAATATTATTGTTATATTAGGAATAATATATTAGGAGTATAAATTAGGGAATTTGTGATTAAAAGATATTAGGAATGTAACTAAGTGAATAATTGTGATTACTCCCACATTGACTACACAATAAACTTCTTGTTATTGTATCCCTATATAAAGGAGAGTAGTTGTAGCTTTTGAAATATGAATGATAATCTATAATATTTTATTGTTTAACAATGTTTATCTAAGAACTGCTTGTTCACACTTCTTGAATTCCTTTGTGCACCATTTTTTTTAATTATGTATGACATTCATATGAATCTTATTATACAACCTAGTTTAGTGATTGCATTTTATTTTTTTATTTTACTTTATTCTGGTGGTAACCTGAGTTTATGTTTCCAGAGAACCATGCCCCTTTGGTGCTAGGTCGATTTCGACTCAAGTAGGTATGGAGTTTGCCTATTTTGCTTTTCTGACCTTTGTCATTGTTAAGAATGATGTTTTAATGGTATATGCATGTAAATCAGTTGCTTATGACTTAATGGTAACATGCAGTCAGAAATAGGATGAGCAGTGTTAAGAATATTCAAAAGATTACCAAGGCAATGAAGATGGTTGCAGCATCTAAGCTACGATCAGTTCAAACTAGAACTGAAAATTCACGAGGACTCTGGCAACCATTCACTGCACTTCTTGGGGATGCCCCTGGTATGTATTCTACCATCCATATTTATAATGTTCTGATGCTGGTATCAAAAAGTAAGTGTAGATATAATTTCTGACACAATTATTCTCTAAATAGAATTATACTTTCTAATTGGTGCATTTAAAATAATCTTTAGCAGATAAATAAAGATTTTATGGAGTATGATAAGGTATAGCAAAGGCATTGTAGTGTTACTCATTTATTAACAACAGATACATTTCACATTGGCTAAATGGTACTTAAATACCATAAAGTTTCCCCATTGTGGCACTTAAATACCACAAATTGTAAAAAATGACACTTCAATACCCTAAGTTGTAAAAAAGCAGCACTTCAATGTCCTAAGTTGTAAAAAATGGCATTTAAATTGCTCTATTATTTCACAACTTTTACATTTAAATACTCTTAAGTTGTAAGAAAGTAGCACTTTAATATCTTAAGTTGTAAGAAAATATAAAATAGCACTTTAATACCCTAAGTTGTAAGAAAATAGCACTTTCATACCCTAAGTAAATTGTCATGGAAATATTCATAATAATTTTCTCATGGAAACTAGCAAAAAGGTACTAATGTGCCAATATTTTACAACTTGCGGTATTAAAGTGCCACTTTTTACGACTTGTGGCATTGAAGTGCCACACTGAGGAAACTTTATGGTATTTAAGTACCATTTACCCTTTCACATTTGCACAATAACAATATTAACATTTGCCTGTGATATAGAATGGCATTTGCACAATAATAATTAACATTTGTCTGTGATACAGAATGGGATAAGACATAGCCAAGGCATTGTACTTCTTGCTCGTATATACCTTTGACATTTGTGTAATATTAACACACATTTTCTCTTATATATTTGATATTAACATTTGCACTTCTATATTCGCACCGTTCCCTATTCCCAAAGTAAAAGAGCTGACCTGCAAATCGATCATCCAAGTGCAGCATGAATCCCTTACAAAACCTTTAGAATGGGAAAAATTGATAAAGTTCTCACTGAACTGGAGGAATATTGTCAACTGGTATGAATCTGGTTTCATAATTTGTGTTATTTTATGCATTTAAGTAGGGCATTGAGACCTTTAAGTTTATGTACTCTAGTTTTGGGCTGGAAATGGACTTTTCGAATTAGAAACTTGTCAAGTATTGTGTAATGCAGATGACAATCTTAGGTGCTGATTCTATTCCTAGTTCATATTAGATACTTCAACATCTAGAAGAATGGCCATTACATCGTGCAAATATTATTTTGTTGATTATGAGTAATGACAGTTATAAAGCTTGAGCTTGGAAAAGTCTGAAAGCAGGTGCTTGCTTAAAGAAACTTTATGGAGGTTGTAAATTCTTGCATCTTGGAGGTGAGGTCGAGAAGTTGTGATGTTTATGGGAGTACAAGGTCCTGTCTGAGGAGTCGCACAATGAATCACCTTGTATCCTTGTCTGTAGCTGCAAGTAGCTACAAGCACAATTTTCTTAAATCATGGTGAAAACCTCACTAAGAAACCACCAAAGGACAGAAAAGTGAAGACTAGGAGAGACTGTACAGCCATTATGTCCAAGTTTCTGGGAAAAAAGATCTAGAAGCTGGATGTGTTTACAAAGTGAAGATTCAGTTTATATGTTGGCAGATGCATGGAAAGGCCTTGTAGTTTTGGTTAAACATATCCAAAGGCTTTCGATTATGCTAGCCAAGGGCATTGTGTTTGGGAATAACTTAGCTTCTTCTTAGTTTCAGCTACAGATAGTAAGATGTAATGAACAATTAGCTCATATTTGTTGGGATTGTTGATAATGATAATCACAACTTTTCTTTATGTTCTTCAATCAATGACTAATTGTAATTTAGTTCTTTTTATTTTTCTGCTTTATTTCAGCTCGATGACGTTTTTGGTTGTGTAATAAGCCTGCTTGTTATTTCTATTTCATGTTTTGTAACTCTATTTTTGTGTCTGATCCTGCATCCAGGTGTTGATGTGAAGAAGAATGTTATTATTTCCATTTCGTCTGACAAAGGTCTTTGTGGAGGCATTAACTCCACAACAGTGAAAGTCAGCAAGACTCTCTTCAAGCTGACTTCTGGTACTATATGGAAATAGATCAACAATTACATTGGTGGCTTTTCCTTGACAGAATTTGACTTCAGTGTGTTTTCTGTAAGTAGGTCCTGAAAAAGAATCCAAGTATGTTGTATTGGGAGAAAAGGGCAAGGTTCAACTGCTGCGTGACTCCAGGAAGAACATTCATATGAACGTAACTGAGCTGCAAAAGAATCCTTTAAACTACACTCAGGTTAAGAAACTTTGCAGATTTTGTTATCTGACATGTGATTAAGACTAGTTCTTCTGTAGAGTCCTTTCATTTGATTTCTGATCTTTTTGGTCTCCTAATGCTTTTCCCGTAAATTGTTTCCTCGATCAACAATTAATTGACCTATTACTTCCACAAAGAAGGCCTATAAATATCAAATCTACATGATGTGGGCCTTTAGCTAGTATATCATTTAGGTAGCGACAGCCTAATTTGAGAATTCTTTTTCTCCAGTTTTAATTATTTCTTCTTCCCTGGTGCAGCTCAGTGCTTGTTTGATGTCTTTTATTTATTTATGTTTTTGGGTTGTAAATGCCATGCTTGTAGAAACTCAATTCAGTTGATAGCCTTAGGTCTCAAGAAAGCAAGCTAAAGATTTACTGATGACAAACTGACTGGCACATATGCAAAAATTGCAATATACGAATTTATGCACGTTGGTTACTATATGTGGTTATAGTTGCTGCGCTTCCATGCTTGCTCTCGTCTTATTCGCTTTTTGTTACTTGTATATCAGGTTTCTGTTCTTGCTGATGATATCTTAAAGAATGTTGAGTATGATGCATTGAGGATTGTTTACAACAAGTTCCATTCAGTTGTCCAGTTCTTTCCGACAATTTCAACTATATTATCTCCTGAGGTGATCTAGAGTCCTATTGTTATCCACTTCAATTATCTTACATCCAGCATATATGAAGAGAAGAATCATTGCTGTCGATATTATATTTCCCAGGTGGTGGAGAAAGAGTCTGAATCTGGGGGAAGACTTGGTGATCTGGATTTGTATGAAATAGAAGGGGCTGAAACGAAATCTGAAGTGCTTCAGAATCTTACAGAATTCCAGTTTTCTTGTGTATGTTCTATTACTCGGTCAGCTTATGCATGATTGTTTCTTTTAGTCATAACATGCATTATTTTACTGAGTAAACAATAGAAAAAGTTTCATGTGTTACCATAAATATCCGTGCTAAATATTTCATTATTGTTTTGTCATTTTCCCATGCTGTTCCCTTCGTCTTTATAGTCTGTTTGTGCCAAATAACACTGCATCCTTCTAGCTTCCTCATCAAATGAGTTTTTACTGGCTGTGCAGTGTACAATTAAGTTGACAAGTTCCATGGAATGATTGAACAACATTTTGGTGTTCAACCTTGTAAAGTTGGTCTCATTGTAGCTTTGTTAAATGCAGCTACGAGTCGCTGGACAAAGCTTTCCTCAAAACCTAAAATGCCAGTTAGTGGGTAGGACACTAATCCTCAGCAACTGATTTATGTTTCTGAGTCAAAATAGAAGTTGAGCAACTCCGAAAATTCTCCTAGACTGGGGGGAGGATACATAAACAGAAAGTATGATCACGAGGCTGGTTGGTCTAAGACAATTTAAGGATGTCCTGAACCAAGTATGCACTTTAGATTTCCATAACAATATAACAATGTTAGAAATTGAAACCCCACTGGTTTGCCACCACTCAGATGCATTATCAGTTTTGCATGGAATTTGCTGATTATCGTATAATTTTCTTCATTACTTACTTTTTGTTTGGTATTTGTTTTTGAATTTCGTTTTGTTTTCAGACCATGTTCAATGCAGTGCTAGAGAATGCATGCAGTGAACTTGGCGCAAGGATGTCGGCAATGGACAATGCAAGCAGAAATGCTGGTGAAATGCTTGATCGCCTGACGCTCACTTACAACAGGTCCTCTCTCTCTCGATCTTGAACTCGAGAAAAGCTCATGTAAACTTTGGACTGAGCTCTCTATCTAGTATCTGCCAACCAACTTTGTTATCACTTGAAAATTGCATTTTGTGTGATGATGTGTGATATACATCAGGGCACACATCTCAAAGGCGACTTTGATGTGCATCACTCATCAGCACACATCTCCGAGCAAATCCACAGGATTACAAAGTTGATGATATACCTGGTCCACTTAAGTTTACATGAGCTACTATATATCTGTGTGCGCGCCTGCGTGCATGTGTGCATATAATATATGCGTGTGTGACTGAAGAATGAGTAACGAGGTGACAACTCATTTTGCTAAATGAAATAAGATATGCACTAGTGTGAGGTCAACCTTGCTAGAAAATCTGAAGGTGTGGACCTCGCCACTCGTATCTATTGGTATCTCATTTTGCTAAATGAGGTGACAACTTATGTTCAATGTGGCGTATATGTCTGTGGGCAGGTTAGGTATCGTGTTTGCAGATTGCATGTGGGTATGCGTGGGCGTGTGTGTTTGTCAAACTGACACTTATCTGTAAATTTTGCGCTCTCTATATAAACTGACATTTCTCTGTAATTTGTTGCTTCAGGACCCGTCAAGCAGCGATTACCACAGAGCTGTCTGAGATCATATCGGGTGCGGCTGCGCTCACTCACTAAATAGTTGATGGGCTGCGCTCTCAGACTCTGTTTGCATCTATTTCTCTTTCGGACGGTCTGTTTTTTGTACTGAGAAAATTGCAATAATCTCCCGAGTGATGTAACAATATCGTGGAAGAGCATGCTACTCGCGTACGATTGAAATTTTCCTTTATTTTCTGATTGAAGGCCCTTTTTTCACTTTGAGTGGTTCTGTGCTATTTGGATGTAATATGCTATTGGTAAACCATTTTAGGGGCGCTGCTGTTGTTTAACTGGGTACATAAATTGGTCTCACCTGTCTACATTGTTTACTTGTACGATTTCAGGCTGAAAAGGTTCCTTCTGACCATCAAAGTGATGAGCTGGAAGTAAAAATATTTGAACCATGATGCTGGTGAACGTGTGAAATGTATATAGGACAAATTTTCAAAACCAACCTATTTACAAATTTAATCGCAGAAAACAACCTATTTCAGATTTAATTGCAAAAACCGATTTGGTTTTAGCCCTGGAGCTGAAACCAGGTCGGTTTTTGAAAATTTTTATCCGAAACTTCACGGGAGTTGAACTCTCGTGAAGTTTCGTAGTTCAAAATTTTTTTTTTGTACTGGGAAACTTCACGGGAGTTCAACTCCCGTGAAGTTTCGAAAGTTTTTTCACAAAAACCGACCTGGTTTCAGCGCCAAGGCTGAAACCAGGTCGGTTTTTGCAATTAAATTTGAAGTGGGTTGTTTTCTGCGATTAAATTTGTAAATAGGTTGGTTTTGAAAATTTGACCAATGTATATAACGTGATGCCTCAAAGCGATGGAAATTATAGACAAATGTTTATTCTTCCCGGGCCAGCAAACGAAGACTTGTGAAACCTCAAAACGTGTTTTGATATATGTACTCTACGCCATAAGTATTTTTAAATTTGTACTCCAGATCATAATAATCAAGGTTTTATAGCTAATCATTTTCCATTTTACTTTTCGTTCCAACTTCTGGGAAATAAATCGGAATATTTTGTTAAAATAATTTGTTTATATACAAAACTGCCTATCATTAATTAACTAGATCGAAATAATTAATATTAATGTTATTATAATACTATAAATACAAATTTTGAAAGCTTTAAAGAGGAAAATAGGAGAAAAGTGAAGGATAGTTTTATTTCTTAGGTATTATTAGATATATACCCCTCACATCTTTAATATCTACAAGCAACCCTTCAAATCTTGATACTTGTAAAATTACCTCTCAAAACTAGTGTATTAGGTCTTTTTGCTGTTCCAATGTAAGAACGTTTGTTTTTAAAAGGGACAATGTCAGAACTTCCATCAGATTTAGAAACTAAACTTGTTAAGTGAAGGGGGTAAAAAAGTTCAACGCGAGGGAATTGGTGGGCAAGTTTGCATATACTAAACTTTGAAGGGTAAGTTTACAAATATTGAAGATTTAAGGCAAATATGCATGAAACCCCTAATCATATTTAATAATTACGGATTGATTTGAGGGGTGAGCTTATACATATGTACAAAGCAGAGGGCATTTATGAAAAAAAATAACAACCAACAAATCGTTCCCCACCTCGAGCCCTGAGTGATTTGGTCAGCACTGAGCAGTTCCATTTTCTCGACGGGGACGCGAGGGGGGAAGGAGAAGTGCAGAACGATCACCAGCACTCACCGAAAATTCGCATTTCGATCTGTGTTTTCGCGCGCGCGTTCAGGTAATCCTCGCCTTGATCACATCTCTCTTCTCCTGGTATTTTTTCCCCTTTAATTTTCTTTTGAATCTTTTAGATCCCAATCTCTTTGGGGGGGCTTTTTGTTCTTTGTGTTCGTCGCGTTCGATGAAATGCCTACCTAGCTTATTATGGGATTTTTTTTTTCAATTCATTGGTGAACATGTTTTTCTTTTTTCTTTTTTCTTTTTTTTAATAAGGGAATTTAGGGGGAAAATACATTTTTGTTGTAAGTAATAAACATCAAATCGAACAAAACTATCTCCTTAAGTTTATAAACTGTTTCTTCAATGTGTATCCTGTAAATTATAGGTAGAGCTAATTTACATCCCAATTCTAAGTTTTGTTTTTATTCCCAAATTTGTTGCCGTTGGAATTTCATACTGGGATTTTGTGAGGGGAGGGTTAATTAAACTAACCAAGGATGGTTTATTGATTTAAGGAATAAGTAAATCAGTTTAGTTAAATTTAATAAAATATTTCAACTGAATTCTCTATCAGCGAGGTTGGAGAGTTTGAGGAAAGATAACGAATAGGGGGATGGATTATTTATTACAATGATTTAGGTGTAAAAGTAAAAATAGCTATAATTTGGTGTATATACGTTATATGTCGAGAAAACCCTTAAATAAATAGGTACAAAAGTGCCCATGAATGTGTGAGGGTTTAAACCGTAGTGAAAATTATGTGTAGAAACAGCAGTAACATAAGTCTAACGAGCAACCAATCGCATAACCAAAACCAAACAAAGTCCTCTAAACTTGGTTCTTCAATTATGATCATATTGTATCTACTGTATTGTTTGCCGTTGGTTTGAATGAAGTAATGCTATTTGGTGACCAGGTGACTCTTCGAAACATTTACGAATAGCAACAGTTTATGGAATCAATTTGTTTATTGAATTACTACAAGAAAGCATAAACTTATGCACTTCTATTTTCTCTCCTTGAACTCATGGATATTTCACATGGATGTTTAATATATTTGCTTGTAGTTTTGCATTTTTTTTCCTTCTATTTGATGTTCAAGCATCTAATTTCATTCAATTATATGGATCAGACATTTGATGGCTAAGCTGGTTGGTACATCCATCTGCCACATTAATCTGTCTAACGATCTTAGGTGTTCTCAACTTCCTCCACTTGGTTTTAAGCATTCATCAAGAGGCTCTTGGAATCTTTCTTTTAGTATCTCGAGACATCACAAATCTCTTAAAATAGTGGCCTCATCGTCAAAATCCTTAAGCAACATGTCTACCACCCACTTTGACAATACCCTACCTTCAAGAGGTCAGTGCCATAAACTTGTGAAGTCAATTTAATGTCCCGATTATCTCTTGCAGCAAAATTTGACTCTTTGTTATTTTCATGTTCTTGCTTATTATAGAGGTTCTAGAGATTTGGCGGAGTGCAGATGCAGTATGCTTTGATGTAGATAGTACTGTCTGCGTGGATGAGGGTATTGATGAGCTTGCAGACTTTTGCGGTGCTGGGAAAGCTGTTGCAGAGTGGACAGCCAAGTAAAGCGCGCTTTAAGTTATGCTTTATTTATTTGTATCTAGTTTAGGGTGTGTTAATGGTTTTTTGTTTTCTGTATCTTAAGGGCCATGAGTGGTTCTGTTGCCTTTGAGGATGCTCTTACTGCTAGACTATCATTGTTCAACCCTTCTCTGTCCCAACTCCAAGATTTTCTGGAAAAGAGACCACCAAGGTATTGATGCTTCTTTAGTTCTTTATCTTCCAAAATTATTAATGCCTGGTGGGGACAGTTTATTAGGAACCATTTAGCAACTTTTGTTGAAACCTTTTTCAAGTAGCATTGTGATGTCTACTGACCTTATTCTTATGGAAGTAGATTAAATGAAGTTGCTGACATGATTCTAATTTCATTGATGTATTCTCTTTATTGACATAGAAGTGTTCACAAATAAGTCACTATCAAATTGTTAAGGTGTAAATGTGTCTTAATTTATTTACTTGTAGAGTTTATTTTTAACTTGTTGAGTTTTGATGCATTGAAGAGTTGCATATTAAATATGCATTCACTATATTAGCTAAAGTTCAATCTTATATATAGAGATTGTTCTTTTGATGACAGCATAACAAAAAAAGAGAGGGTATGTGAGAAAAAAAAGAGGAAAATAGAGAGAAAAGAGTGCGAGTATTAGAGAAGCGGGGTCCTTGTAGTTATATATTTTTCACAGTGAATATTCTCCACCATCCGAGGACGTAGGCCAGCGTTTGGGGTTGAACCTCATAAATATTGTCTTGTCTTGTTGCATTGTGCTTCCATATTGTTTTTGACGTCTCAATCTCCTAGATCCCGTGGTTCCGTGTGTCGGGATCAGTGTACGGCTGTAGATTCCACATCTCGTTGTAGAGAGATTATTCAATCAATAATTCACAACAATTGGTATCAAATAATTCAGTGGAGACTCGAGCTGATATGAGTTAAATTTCAAGGTGGATAAGTTTGATAGCAAGGAAATTTCTCTTTATGGCAGCGCGCTATTAGCACAAGAAGGGCTCCGCAAGGCGTATTGGGGAAGGAGAAAATGATGAGATCAGTCCTTATTGTTTTGTCAAAATCCTTAGGAGAAGGATCAACTTTAATGTCCACGTCGAAAGCACCGATGAGCGAAGAAGAGTGGGCGGATTTATATCTCCAAGCGGCAGTGACTATTGAGTTATGCCTCATGAATGAGGTGCTTTGCAACGTGATCGATGATAAGATGATGACCAGTCTGTGGCTAAAATTGGAGTCTTTACATGTCAAAGAATCTCTCCAATAAGCTTTACCTCAAGAAGTAACTATTGGGGTTGCATATGAGGGAAGACACATCAATTCACGACCATCTTAGGTTGGTGATATGTTGTGCATTGATGAGAAGTTGAAAGAGGACGACAAAGCTCTTCTATTGTTGAACTCATTGCTTCCATACTACTATCATCTATGGGAAGGACACCCTCAAAGGTTGAGGATGTCGTAAGTATGTTGGTGTCGAACAAGATTTAAAAGAGACCCATGAAGACTGAGGAATCGGGGGAGGCTTGTTTGCGTCATCTTCTAAGGGGAGAGGTAGAAACAAAGATTAGAAGGGGAATGAAGATCGTCAAAGAGGAAAATCAAAAGGCAAGATGACTTTATATCACTTTTGCAGGGAGCCGGGGAATTTTCTTAGAGAGTGTAAGAAGTACAACCGAGCACCTACAAAAGAAGGGGAAGAAGGAAATCAGCTCGGCTAATTCTAAAGCCGAGCTACATGCTGATTTGCTCATTATGAGCTTGCCGGGAAGTCAATATGGAAATGAGTGGGTATTGGATTCAGGTTGCTCTTATCACATGACCCCATATAAAGAGTAGTTTGAGATATATGAGCCATTTGATGGAGTATCAGTTTTGATTGGGGGTAATGCATCTTGCAAGATAGTTGGGATTGGAACCGTGATGATCAAGATACATGATGGTGTTGTTAGATGTCTCACCAATATGAGACATGTGCCAAAGTTGACAAAGAATCTTATCTCCTTGTGTGCTAGGTTCTTTGGGGTGTCAGTATGGAGCTGAATGTGGAGATCTAAAGGTGATTAGGGGGGCATTAGTGGTGATAAAAAGGGCAAAAGGTGGGCGTCTTATACAAAATGCTTGACAACACAATTAATTGAGGAATTGCGGCAGCTATCAGGAAGAATAGCAAAGACAACACCAAGTTGTGAAACATGAGACTTGGCCACATGAGTGCACAAGGATTGAGGAGTTGCATAAGAGGGGTCTACTCAACCGTGTTAGAAGCCACAAGCATGACTTTTGCAAGTATTTTGTGTTTGGTAGACAACACAAAATCTCGTTCAAGATGGCGACTCACAAAAGTAAAGGAGTGCTAGATAACATCCTTTTTGATGTGTGGGAACCGACACCCATACGGTCCAAAGGAGGAGTCAAATATTTCATCACATTTATTGATGACTTCTCGTGAAAGGTATAAGTTTATTTTATGAAACATAAATTTGAAGTGTTTGAGAAGTTTCAGGAGTGAAAGACCAATGGTGAGAAGAGCATTGGGAGATTTGTGAAGTGCTTGAGGAGTGGTAATGGAGGTGAATACACCTCTACCAAATGCAAAAGGCTCTGCAAAGTTGAAGGCATAACTCAGCATTATACAACACTAGGCAGGGCTGATCAAAATGGGGTTGCAGAATGGATGAACATAACTCTTTGTGAGAAATCAAGGAGCATGTCGCTAAATTCGGGGTTGCCTAAGGAGTTTTGGGTGGAATCAATCAATATGACGTGTTATGTCGTAAACCTAACACTATCTACTGCCACAGACTTAAAGATCATTGAGGAGGTGTGGCTTGGGGAGAAGGTTGATTATCCAAAGTTGAGAATCTTCGGTTGCTCGACATATGCTCTTGTCGATGCAAGCAAGCATTCAAAGCTTGATGCAAAATCTAATGAGTGCGTGTTTATTGGGTTCTTGCATGGGTGAAAGGCTACAAACTATGGGATTCGACAAAGGTCTTTGTGAGGAGAGCACGACGGCCAAAGAAGAAGGTGATGAAGAGAAAGCTAAAGTTGAGATGGAGCTGACCGCTTTAAATGATGAGAAACTGAACTAGAAAATGCAAGTTAAGGAGACAATGGAGTGCACAAAACCATCAGGTAGAGTTGAACCTACAGGCACTAGAGCTACGATGACTAGAAATGAGATGCCTTGTGATATTGCACTTGATGGAGACTGGAGGGTGATTAAAGCTCCGATGAGATACAAATTTGAAGAAGATTCGGTTGCTTTTACACTTGTAACCGAGGAGAGAGAGATCCATCAACTTTTAAGGAAACTCTTGAGCATGGAAAGAAGCATGAGTGGATTATAGCCATGGACGAAGAGATGGAATCTCTTCGAAAAAATCAAACATGAGATCTTGTGAAAGTATCTACGTGGAAGAGAGCTATCGAGTGCAAGTGGTCAATTGCAAGAAAGAAAGTTCTAATCCACAAGAGAAGATGAGATGTAAGACGAGACTTGTTGCAAAGGGGTACACGAAGGGAAAGTGTTGACTACAACGAGATCTTTTGTCCAGTGGTGAAGCACACATCTACCTAAGTGCTATCCACTATGGCTATAGATAATTTGGAGCTTGAGCAACTGAATGTCAAAACCAATGTTCAAAAACACAGTTATATTATCCATACGGTTTGAGAGCGAGTCACGACTAATCGTATTATGCACTGATTAATCGGATTATCCAGAATTATGCGTTTTTGAATTTTTTTAACATATATTTATTATTTTTCATACATAAAAAAAAATATATTTCATAAAAGATAGAAGATATACTAAGAAAAATACAAATAAACATGTGAGTGAATAATCATTAACTATGTAACTAATTAAACACTCAATCCAATGCATCTATTATCCATGCATACATCATAATTAACTAGCTACTCAGATAAAAGTTACTAATTAAACACTTAAATTAAAACAAAAAGTATATAAACTAAAACTAAAACATTTACTCTTCCTCATCCTCCTTGTAACGAATGTTAACATCTTACTCTTCTTTGAAGGGAGCCTCAAAATCATCATTATTATCCTCATCCAAATCAATCATCAATATTATCCTCATCCAAATCATCTTTATTAGTCCGTTCATCATTCATGTCATCAATAGCTGCATTAGAAGAGCCCTCCTGATCTGTCCTCAACCTATTAGCATGCCTCCTTAGTGTCCTTCTGCTCCTATGCGGGTCTTCATTAGCCCCACTAGCATTGGTTACAATCTTCCATGAAAGTCTGCTACCCGGAAATATTTCCTCATCTTCTTCATTCTCCCTTTCTTTAACATTGTCGGACTTCTAGTACAATGCTCTAGAATCATCATTAGCTAGAAGCACGTCCTTGATTTTTCCACTCTTTGTTCCTCCTCCTCTTTTTTGTATGATCTTTATAATGAATTGCACAAATGCAAGACCATTTAGCCTCTTTAGGTCTAACCGGTTCCTCTTTTAGTATGTACCTGCATATTTTACTTATCAAGATAGAATTAGAAATTATGCATCATGACATATTGCTAACCTGTTGAAAAAACTTATTACCCTCTCAAATACACTCCAGTTTTGCTCACAGCCCGAGGAACTGCTAGTCAAACTGAGTGTCTTCATAGCCATCTTTTTCAAATGAGGCACATCTCCTCCAAAACTATCCCACCAATGTGCTATCAATTTAAAACAAATATATATTTAGCAATTAGCATATTAACTGACCATTAAGCTAGGAGTAGACTAGAAGCTTGGAACAAAGTTTGTACCTGGATCAAAATTATCAGTGTCGTTGAAACTCATATAATAGCGTTTTGACAATCCACTTTCCAAAAGCCCTTCTGCATTCTTGTACTTGACCATTTCTTCTTGTGCAACCTTATCCTGTACCTCCTCTATCCCTCGAAAGAATACATCAAGACAATAGTAAATATCACTCCTAGCAGCAGTAGTCTCGTGAGGCGTCTTATCCTTATTGTAATAATAGGGATTCAAAAGGTAAGCTGTCATCCTTATTGTAATAATAGGGATTCAAAAGGTAAGCTGTCAAATGAAGTGGACTGTCTAGTCTCCCTGCCGCATGCTTCTCAATAATCTCAATAATCGGCTGATAAACAGTCTCCTTCTTGTTGTAAGCAGATTTTATCTTATTCTTGATATCCTACAACATACTGTAGACAAAGCCCATGGAGGGCCTCCTATCTGCATCAATAATCCTTAGCAGCTTGAAAAGAGGATTATAGATTTTGATCAGCAAGTGTAAATCCTTTTAAAAAAATACTGGAATAGACTGTAGACTTAGTAGCAACTCCCTTAGATATCTTGGCCTATCTGTTCTCTTCCCACTCAGGTGAAGAGATTATGGCGGCTAATTGCGGTTTCTTCTCCACTAAGCAAGTCATGCTAAGGAAGGAAGTGGCAAATCGTGTAACTCTTGGACGAACAAGCTCCCTTTTATTAGTAAAGTTGCGCATCAAAGAAAGAGTATTATGATGCAAGTAGAGAAATACCGTGAGATTCCTCCCCTTCTTTATCATAGGCTTGAACTTTGAAAGCTTCCCAATATCCTCCAACATCAAACCAATCGTGTGTGCCGCACAACTAGTCCAGAATATATTTGGACGCTCATCTTTCAACTTGTTCTTTACAGCCATGTTAGAAGCCGCATTATCGGTAACCAACCGCATTACATGAGACTCCCCAATCTCCATTATGCAATCTTCAACCCACTTGTAGATGTAGTTTCCCGTGTGGGCATGCTCGGAGTCTTCGATATACTTGATGAAACTCATGCCATCCTTGCAATGGACGCACAAGTTCATCACACTCCCGTGCATCCTGTCAGTCCATCCATCTATAAGGATACTGCAACCGTACTCATCCCATCATTGCTTTTGCTTTTCCAACCCTCTCTCAATCTTATCACATGCTTTTTTCAGACGAGGAACTCTGAATTGATACTGACTAGGCCTCTTGTACCCCGACCCATACCTCCTAATTGCCTCACATGCGATATCAAATTTCTGCATGCAAATACATGAAAAGAAAGTTCCACTGCATATGCCTACATGCTCAATTTTTCATGAGCTAAATCCCTCCATTGCCTCCTCTCAGTCTTATTAAGCATGGTTTGCTTCGTTTTGCCATCTGCAACCATTTTGTCTAACGGACCGGAGACACGTGGCTTCTTTAAACCGATACTAGCTAGCTCGAGTGCTTCCTCCTCCCTCTCATCTAAATTGCGGACCTTTTGTCTCATCTCATATTCCGCCTTTTTCTTGTCGTTCTTGCTCATCTTGGCATCTAAGTTCTATCGACAAGCTTGCATGTCCTCATCACTTGCAAGAGGACATCCTTTAATTTCTCCACGAATTCCGGCAATGTGTTGTTTGAGATGGTTGACTCCTTCCTTCATGACCTTCATCCACTTCTTGCATTGCATAGTAAGATGGCAATCCTTCTTCATGAGCTTCCCATAATTCCATCTCATATCAGTAGAACCAGGAGGGGTTTCCAGTATTTGCTCACTACTAGTGCTATTTGATCTCTCGCTCATGCTTGAATTTGAGGCCATCGATGATGGCATATAAATCAAGAAATCCTACACATAAAAATAAAATACATCAATGAGGACTACAACGCCTACAAATTAGTCATATACACCCAAAATTATGTAAATATCAACTTAAATCAGCAAACCATGCTCACTGACTTTTTAAAGTAATAAATAAGAAATATGTATTTTCATTTAAAATATAAAATACGTATCTTAAAGTAACATTAAGTGGTTAACAAACATGATTGTTCATAATTTTCTAGTTAGCATTATTAATTGCTACGAGTATGTATAATTAATAATGTATTCGGTTCTTATTTCCTAATCATGTATAATGAACTATGAATTAATCTATTAGAAGCATAGAACATTCATTATTTCATTTGAACAGTAGCTACAAAAAAGTCAAAAAAATGAAAAAAAGCTAGAAACTCA